TATTCAAATATGCTAAAATATAAATCTTTAATCGCTATTAAACTGAACTTGTTACACTTGAAAGAAATGTGTAAAATTTATTTGAATTGACACTTTTTTAAGCTTATGCATATTGAATGCGTTGGCCTAAGGCTCAGCCTAACAATGTAGTATTCAAATAAAATAGAAAATTTTCTATTGAATAATATAAAAATGTCCACTCTTTGTTTAGTATAGTCATCAAAAAAGTTAATTCAAAATAGGTTTATTTCATTTTTGATAAAATTCATTGGCTTTAGGCAAATTTGGCCAATCATAGAAATCGTTTAGCAGGGTGAGAGCAGCTGAAAAAGATAAAAAATAACAATATATTATTGTATTTATTTTTCATTATATTTTCTGATTAGTTTTATTTTTTTTATTTTATTTTTTGACATATTTTATTTAATATTTATTTTATATTATTATTTATTCACTCTTTTTTACTTTTAATTTTATTTTTCGTTTGTTTTTTTTTTTTTAATTTTTATTTTGATTTTTTTTTTATAATTTTTTCCAATTATTTTTATCTAGCTTTTTCAATTTTACTTTTTTTTTATAGTTTTTCTTTTTTAATTTTTGTCCAAATTATTTTTGACCTGTGTGATGGAATAGTCATAGTAACACACACACATGCATACACGCAAACACACATACGTGTACATGGTGTATTCATGGTGTATTCTTCTGGGAATTGTTGTAAGCTCAAAGAAACTCTGTATTTAATCCTCGTCCATTGCTCTTGTTTAGCGGGGCGGGGCAGCTAAGCCTTTGGGCGCTACGAGGGAACAAAAGTGTTGCATACTTTGGGGCGGCGCGTGTTTTTGTTTGCGCAATCAAATTATAAAAGTTACTTTAACACCACCGGATAAGCGGCCTGGCAGAGGAATATTTATGGGCCCACAAATCAATAGGCGGACTGCTGGCCCATTGGCCCATTGGCCCGTTGGCCCTCAGGAAAGGGGCCAGGCCGAAGGCTTTTCAAAATGCCACGCCTCATTTAACTGGAAATCACATGAAAACGCGTTAAAAACACATTAAATCACACGTTATCAATTTCATGCCACTGAATGCGAGTGTGTGAGTGAGTGGGAGTGCGAGTGGGAGTGTGTGTGTGTGTGTCAGACAAACCTTGGGCTGACACGCAGAGCTATTGGTATCAGGTCGACAATACGTTAAAGCCGCGTAAGCCAGCAGCAGGAGCTCAGCTCCGCGGGGCGAATCTTCATCATCAACATAAACGGCTGTCAACGCCCGGGCAACGCATTTGAAATTTCAATTGTAGCGTTTGCCTTACGCAAATCCAGTTTCATTGAGGCGAACGGCCACGCCCCGCCCATTCGCCGTGCTACGTGCAATAATTGCCCCATGCGGCAGGCATTGCGTATACGCAACGTATGTTAATGTAAGCAAAGCAAGGCAGGCCGAGGCGAGCATAAGTCGCGCTTTCTCTCTTTTTTATACTTTTTTGTTTGGCATTTGTTATTGACATTTGCATTTGCTTGGGGCTGCGTTTATTGTTTCTGGTTGCTTTCTCCTTCCTCCTCTTCTTCTTGCGGTGGTGTGTTACATGTGATTAAAGTCAATTGCAAGCGGCGTGTAATCAGCACATTTAATCAGCGGGATATTTATGGCAATCGTTTAACTCAACATTGTGTAAATCTGTTTGCAAAGTTTTTGAGAAAAACAAGCTCAGATAAAAGCTCTTAAATGTGGGGCGTAATTATGTTTGTCTCAGTCACGCCCCACACACACACACACACACAGAGAGTGAGAGAGAAAGAGACACTTTGCACTTGTGGCAAATGAATGTCAACTTTTGCTTTGCCAGCGGATTACGATTACAGCCACTTTCTCTCTCTGTGTGTGTGTGTGTGTGTGAGGATGTATTTACGTGTGTGTGTGTGTAGGAAGTTGTCTGCAGCAAGTCAAGTCAAGTCAAGGCAAGTCAAACTAATTTCGACTTATGAAGCAGCCGCCCCCGTCCCACTCCCAAATGCAAAATCGAGTTTCGTTATGCGGCAGGCACAAATAACACTCATTAGCCATAATGAGTTATACTCGTCGCTCGGACTCCCGCTCGGACTACATTTGGATGGCTCTTTAACGGTCATTATGCGGATGGTGTTTTGGTTTTTATTGGCCCCGGCACTGCATACTGCACGGCGGCGCCGACGGCGGCACATTAAGTTTTCAGCTATTAATACTTAGCCGAGTGGGCGGGCGCCACGAGTGGGCGTTTCACAAAGATCTAGAGATCTGAGTAGGTTGGGCCAGGGGCGGTACGGGTGCGGGTAGCTACCACAAATTGTTTGACATTTGGCACTGGCATTGGCTGTCAAGCCTTTCACTTGCCTCCTGTTATTGTCACTTGCCAACAGCAGTTTCAGTTATTTTAGCCAAAGTTTTTCGTCACAGCAGCAGCAGAAGCAGCAGCAGCAGCAGGACAAACTTTTGTTGTTAATTCGCTCAAGTTTCTGGCAAGTATTTACGTGCCCCAAGACCAGCCATTTGCAAGGGAATGAGACAGATAGACAGTTAGAGAGATAGAGAGAGTGAGCGAGTGAGTGAGCTGGCAGGGAGAGCGAGTCTGACGCAGACCAGCCACAGAGGCTGGCAGGACGGTTATACAAGTACCCGGAAAGTTTAACATGTTAATGGCATAGTTTAGGCAAATGTTTTCACTGGCGCCCCTTCATCACCGTCAAGATCCGTATGCGTACATATTTCGTATATAGTTTGCTCTAATATGTGTGTTCCTCTCCTCTCGCTCATCCCCTCACCCTCCCACATTTTTGCGACAGAAATTAACTTTCACTCACCACATTTAGAGCTCGGCCACATAATGTGCCATTGCCATCGCCAACGGCTACGTTAAGTGACTTTCTTATGCTGGTTGTAAAATTCCTTGCTTTATATGCAGACCCTTCAGATCTGCGTCTGTCTGCCTGTGTGTGTGTGTGTGTGTGTTTGTGTAGCATACGTAAATGCCAAATATTTTCAGACTATGAAAGCCCGTAATTTAGTTGAGTACGCAGCCCGAGCAAACGACGAAGGCCGCGGCCAAGTGGTAAGTGGAAGGGCGTCTAGGCGTTCGGCTGTATGACGGCATAGGGCGTGGGACGTGGGGCGTGGGGCGTGGGGCGTGGCGTGCCACAAAAGTTTTCCGGGCAAATGCATAGTTGCGTATTTTTCGATTTACTTGAAATTTGACAATATGCGCGAAAACTTTTCGCCTGCCTCCCACTGTCATAAGGCGAAAGTTGTGAATTTTTGCAGAAATTCTTTGGCTCAGCTTTTATCCGTCAAGCCGAGAGGCTTTAAAGCTGGTCGAAAGTGATTGTTGCATGGCTGTTGGCATACATGTGAATAAACAACTTGAAGACGTCGGAGAGCTGTGTCAGGTGTAGCAGCCACTTGTAGCAGCAACTGCCACTTGCAGCAGCTGGAGCAAGTTTATATATCTTGGCAACAAATTGCAAATGGCCTGCAGCAGCAGCAGGAGGGGGACGAGAAGGAGGAGGAGAAGGAGAGCAGCACTCGGGCAGCAGTAGTAGTGCAGCAAAATCCAAATAAGCAGAGCAAGCGCCGCGGGCCAGGACTTGCTCACTGCACAGCGAGTCAGTCAATGAATGGTGTGGGCCACTTGAGCTGAATAAGTTTCAGCTGAAACTAAATAGACCGACTTGCCGGACTTTGTCGGGCGACAGATAAAGACGCCGCCCAATGATGCTGGCAATGATGCTGGACTCGACGGCGTGGCGACACTGTTGCAGGCCAAGAACAAATGAGCGCGCCAGAGCGGGTCAAATATAATTTCTGACGGCCAACGAGAAACAGCTGAGTCTGCTTAACGCCGAGAGCAGCTGTCCAGGAGGTGAGTGGGGCAGGAGCAGGAGACGGCGGCGGGGGCGGCGGGTAGCGTGAGCTTAAGCACAAAAGTAGTTTCATGGCAAATTTGTTGAGTTGAGTTTGGAAAAGTGGCGGGGCTTCCCTTGATTAAAAATTAAAGCAGTACTCTCTCACTCTCCCCTCCCTCTCTCTCTCTCTCTCTGTCGCTCATATTTCTGTGAGCGATTTAGTATTTCGATGTGAAATGAATTTAAGCACAAAGTAGGCGTGGCAGGCAGCAAGTTACGTGCTTTGCATGCAGCTGAATGCGTAACGCAGTCCAATGTATGCATATATGTGTGTGTGTGCGTGTGTGTGTGCGTGTGTGTGTGCTAAATGCGTGTTGTTATAAATTCAAATCAACTTAGTGCCCGCTGCGTCGACTGTTGCCTGTTCCGTTCAACATCATCAAATCGATTTGGCCCAGACTGCCCCTCGCCTCGGCACGCCTCCTGCTAGCTGACCTTTAGCTATAAATTGGCCGATTGCTAGTTTGGCCCTTTTTTGCCGTTGCCATTGCCATTGCCATTGCCGTTACCATTGCTGTTGCTGTTGCTGTTGCCGTTGGGTTGCGTTGGCCATTTCAGTTTAGAGCAGCGGCGCGTGGCCAGCTCTTTACAATGTTACAATGTTGGCTTTGCAGATTCAACATGACTTAGTGCCGACTTAAGCGCATTAGGGCTGGGCCAAAGCCCAGAAAGTCTTTTAATGTCTTATCTCTGTGCAAATAAATAAACGAGCGCCAGCTGAAAGCCCCCCAGTCCCTCATATAAATTTGCATAGACGCCTCAATTAGCCGCGCTGCCAGCTTGCAGTGCTGGCTCGATCTCTGTATTGGTTAAGCCAGCCGCAAAACACAAAGCTAATTCCAAATCTAATTTAACATAAACCTGGCCATCTTCTCTCTCTCTCTCTCTCTCTCACTCTCTCAGTCTGTTGCTTCCGGTGCTGCTGGCCTCTGAGTGGCTTCCGCTGCGCTTTTGTTTGAGGCTTAACAAGCTAAACTTTCCCGACTATGATTTGGATTTGAAGTGCACTCGTGTCCCGCGGCGCAATGCAATTACGGACTTTGTATTCGCATTTCACAGTTATTATTTTCGCATGCGAATCAGAATGCTGAACAGGGAGTAGACGAACTTCAGCGTGGAGAAGAAGGTGCTCACGTGTATGGAGAGCATGCCGCCGGCCATGGGCGCGGTTCGCTTCAGTGAGCGCTCCACAAACAGCATCAGCTTCTTCTTGAAGCTGCGCGTCTGCGCCAGCCAGCGGCAGCTGAAGGCCGCATAGGGCAGCTTGCCGAACCAGAGCTCCACGTCCGTGCCGTAGTAGCAGGCGGGAAAGATTTGCAGCGGCAGTCCGACAGTGTAGACCACGAAATAGGCGATCGTCAAAGGCTCGTTGCTGAGCAGCAGTCCCACAATGCTCGTACACAAGTTCACTCCACTCACCGCGAACTGAATGAGCATCTGCAGCGACATGAACGACTCGAGGGTACGAAAGAGCCTGCAAATGAATGATACCAATCAAATTCTACTATAAATCAGCATTGTCACTCACTCCAGCAAGCTCTTGTGATCGGTTATGCAGGCCTCCAGCTGCTGCTCAGCATTCAGAGACGGGTCCTCGCCCACCTTCTCGAAGCGTAAGTAGAGCATCTTAATGTGGGCGGCGGTGATGCAGAGCATCATTGAGGGAAAGCAATCGTTCGCATAGTTCTGCATTATTTGTACGCCGAGTCCGATCGACTGATACACGTGGGCCACATAGAAGTTGCGCGTCGACTTGGCCCAGTCGAAGGGGAACCAGCCAGGATACATGAGGAGACGCTCCGTCTGAACGAGGAATCCGATTTCGGCCAGAAGTCCAAGCGTCACATATAGGCTTAGGATGAGATAAAGAATGACTCTCAGTTGAATCTTCAGCCATCTGTAGACGACTTTCTCTTCCTCAGTCTTCACTCGCAAGTCCAGTTGCCTGAGCAGCTGCTCCATGCGGCCGATCTTCCTGAACTTGAGCATACAAATGAAAGTCTTGCACGAACACGACGCACACGTAGAGACCATAGCAAGGTTCGATATGTTGTCCGAGAGGCTGTCGTTTCTAAAGAGCAAGAAGCTCATGTGAGTGGGAAACCAGATGGTGATGAATAGATTCAGGATCAGACTGTAGCCAATGTAGAGCCGATTCCAATTCATTTTCTCATATGTAGCTCCAACAAACTTCCACACAGCCCAGTGGCTCCTGAAGAAGCTCATGCTGTCGAGGACCTCGTCTGACTTTTCGGCGTTCCGTTTCATTGCCTTTTGATTCGGTTGGACATGTTGGAGTTTCTTTTTATATGTGCTCAAGGAATATTTAAAAATGTTTTCTATAGTAATTATATAATAACCGTTTCAATTATGTAATAATAAAGTGATTAAATGCTTTGTTCAATTGAGTTGATTTGTAGGTATGAGTTTATTTTTTTCCCTAATAACTGCTTTAAATGGATATGTTGTACATCATTTCTAATGTTCAACGAGAGCTCTATTTTATGAATGCATTTTATATGAAAATATTAAATAGATGGAGTTATTACTATGATTTATTAGAAATTTTTTTATTTATATATTTTAATTAATATATTTTATATATTGAATTTGAAATCATTTTGCTTTATTGAATATTGAAAATTGAATAAATTTAGGGTAATTTGTAGTCTATAGACTTTCAATTAAGCAATTATCCTTTTTTTTTCGTTGATAATTAATAATTTAACAGCCACTTACGTTAATTGAATTGAATTGTAATTAAGGTCGCCTTCTCCAAATTAATTTGTCGTTAATTGCAGGGCCACGGAAATATAAAATATTGTCAACTTAATATTCATCAAGCAATATTTAACCCAATTGAGCTGTTATTGCTTACTGTACTAAGGTGCAGGAATCTTCTTAGAGCAGTTATTGTACAAATATATGAATCTAAATAAATGAGTATCTATTTATATTTAATGTTCTTTTTTATTCAAACAATCCACATATTTAATTAAATCGAATTTCGTTTAGAGCTCTTACAGCATTTGAGAACTATGATTTATGAGTTTAAATTACCTTAAAATTATATTACCACTAAGCTATCTGATAGTCAAATTTAAACGAGCATATGTAAACCAAAATCCAGGTAAATCAGTATCCGACTATATTTACTGAGTCTTTATTTATTTTTTATATTTCTTATAATTTTTAAATTAAAAGTGGAAAATCTGTACATCAATTAGTACTGAACATTCAATATATTTTTTGTATTATTATATTTAATCCGTAGATCAATTTGTAATAAATTTCAATTTTTTTATGTGTTTTAGTGATTTTGTATATGATTGATAGATGAAATTTTATTCATGCTGTGGCTTAGCCAGACATGTTCGCAAGCTAAATTTGTAGTTAGATAATTGAATGGAACGAAACAACGAGCTGCGAATTCTAAAGGCATGAAATCCAAACGGTGTGCAATATATTAAGCCCATTTTGAATGCTTTTAGTGGAGCGCCAGACAGGGCTTCGCATGGCAATGCAACATTGTGTCAACGCTTTGTGCACAAAGTGCATTTGACAATTAATAGAAGTGACGCGAGTGCTTGTTTAGATGTTGCTGCCATTGTCGGCGGTTTTGTTGCATGTCGCATTGTGGGTCGGTGTGAGGTGTTCACCAAAGTATGCTACACAATTTACATGCACTCATTGTCAATTTTCGCCATTTCGCATTTTCCCATTTACCGTTTTCCCACCGCCCGCCACGCAGCAGCCGGCAAAAGTTATGGCGCTTTTAATAATTTGACGGTTGAATTTGAAAACTAAAGTATGCACAGTTCCGGTTGGCCCTGGCATCGCGTTGATGGCATATGCAATTAGCATGATTCAGGCAAACACGCGCGCACACACACACACACAGACATACCTAGGCACATGCAGTTGTAGTTGTGTCGCAACATTTTGATGGCCAGGCCCATAAATTGTTGCACGCATTTCAACATGGCAATTCGCCAGCACTAAAAGAAACACAATATATATAAATATACGATATATATGTGTATAGTATATTTATATATGTATGTAGTATATATTGCACTGCCAAAACGTGTTCTTAATTAGTGCGACACGCCATTTCCTTTAAACTTGGCTTAAAGCCATTCGCATTCGGCCAATGCCAAAGTTTGGTTGGCATTTCAATTTTTCGGCTATTTTTAGTCAGGCGACCGAGTTGAATTTCAGCTGAAATTTAGTTGTATACCTATTGGTATATATATCGGCATATTTTTGTGGATTTTCTTTGTCATGGGAATACCCAATTATTGTCGAACCGATATTTCCATTCGTAATTATTTATTGTTTTTTAAAGCAAACGTTTGGTATATATCTAACATTCGTTCGGTGTGCACTCTCCGGCCATCTAAGCGCTAAAATAATAAAGCAGAAAATGCATTGCATTTGGCACTGCTCCACATGAAACATTTATTCGGGTATTTAAAAAAAACTGCTAGAGCAAATGTGAAATATGTGACAATTTGAAGTAGATGTTGTTGCTCTATTAAAGTTATATGGGAATGTATGTATGTATGTATATATGAATATATATCTCAATCATTAGAATCTCTGATGAAATATATGTACGCTAATATATATATATATATATATATATATATATATATATCGGACAGTATTTATATTAACTTCTCGTATAACAGCTTCAATTGCAAAACGCATTCTGCATATTTAGATGTTAAATTCTTAAGCATTCCCTCTGCTAACTAACTTAACTCTATATACAAATATAAATCTAAATATTTTGCTTAAAAGGCTACCCAGCTTGCTGCATATATTCAACCCTCTGCAATTCTTAGAGTAACAAATAATGCAAAACACAGTTTTATAGCTTAGCAAAGCCGGTTGGGGTAACTGCAGGATGCATGTCTAAGCATAGCAGCAGCAACAGCCGCAGCAGCAGCAACAACAACAACAAGAAGAACCGTAGCAACAGCCGCAGCAGCAGCAGTGGCAACAGCTGCTGTCATAGTGGGCAATGTGGGCAGCGTTTGCTGTCAGCAAATGAGCTCGACAACAATGTAATTATCATAATTAAAAGGCTGCCCCTGTCCTTAGCTGGCCTTGTCTAACCAGCGCCAAAAAACGGTCACAGCGTCCACAAATTCGCTATTAAAAGCGCTTAAGTGAGGGGTGAATGCAAGGGGGCAGGGCTGGGGTGGCCGGCGACTGTTGTTGGCTGCATAATTGAGGCAGTTCCCTAATTGTGGAACGCAGCTCATTAATTGCGCCTGTAACGAAGCTCGTTTAGTAGTCTGCTTGCCCTGGCCACCCCCCTCGCCGACCCACTGGGCCGCCCTTTGCTCTCCGCTGAGTGTTCCAGTTCCATCATCATCTTGTTGAGGTAGCTACGCTGATTAAATCATGTTGCAATTATTCTACTTGCAATGCGCTCCCAGCCAGCCAGCCAGCCAGCCACCCAGGCAGTCATTGTTGTTGCGGCAACTGCAGCGCTTGCATCAACTTCTTATCAGCTCTTATCAGTGGACGCTGTACTCACCACGCCGGACGCTGCTCAACAGCTGAGCCCCTCTACCATCGACCGAGCTGCGCATGCCCTGGAATCGAAGTATTTCAAATCAAAACATAGAATTGAACTAATTCAAATGATTTGAATTGCAATTGTTTTTTTTTTTTTTTTTTTTTTTTTTTATAGTTTAAGTGCATTGAATGATGATCGGAATTTAAATTTCGAGTTTGCATGAGGGAGAAAGTATAAGAATTGAAAATATATAAAATTAATAAATTTGAAATATATATATAAAAAAAAAAAAAATTAAATTAAAAAAAATAAAAACGTAAAATTAAAAATATAATAAATAAATAAAAATTTAATTTTTAATAGTTTTTTAACTTAACTTAACTATTTATTTATTTTTAAAATTTTATATTTTTAGTATTCTTTAATATTTTCATATATTTTACATTTTTAATTTTAAATCAAAAAATAAAAATAAAACCATGAGAATAATAATTATATTTAGTAATCATATTAAGTATCATTTGAATACAATGAATGCTCGATGCATGATTCTGTTTCATTTATTTTAAATAGATTTATTGGCATGAACAGAGTTTAAGCAGTTCAGTTTTTTTTCTTAATTTTTTTTATTTGTTTATTTATTTATTTATTTATTTTTTGTTGTTATTAAGTTTCATATATTTTTGTAACTAGAGCTGAATTATTTTCTACTTAAAAATAAATAAATAATTTATTATATTTTTTGTTATTATATATTAAAATTTCTGCCAGTTATTACTAGCTTGAATTTGTTTAACAAATTTATTAGAAAGCGGCTCATTGGAGTGCTATTGCTATTTCCATCATTCCATCATTCTATCATTGCTATCTTATCTATTAAACCTTTGTCTAGTTTATATATGATTTGCATATGACATTAAAGCCAAAATCCGGCATAGCTAATTCTCATACAAAAACTTATCCACACCTATGCAAGCTTTAAGCCAACGCGACGTAGATGCACGCAACAGTTTACTTTGAAGCGAGCAACTTCTTATCAGTGGCCAATAACATCGCGGCTTCCAGTGTAATCAAAAACATCGCTTGGAGCTCTCGCACGCTCGTCCACTCGCTCGCGTGATTCTACGAACTTACTAACCTGCCTCAATAACAATCCGTGCAACTGCTTTCACTTTTCGGCTTTTCGCCTACCCTATTGCTCCACAGACCCATATGGCACATGGCACAAAGCGGAGCCGAGCCAGCGGTTCATTCGTTCGTGCTGTTTCGGGTTTGGCGTGGTGAATTTCCGGAGACGATTGCTCGAGTAGGCGAATCTCGGACTTGGACTCCGGCCAACGATGTGCAGTACGCTTTGAAACGCGGCGGGTCGTAGTTGTGTGGCAGCTGGAGCATCCAGCGTTCAACTCACAAACAGCCAGAGGCTCAAACGCTCACGGACTACTTCAAAGGCGCGAGAAAAACAGATTTAAAAGCAGATTTTCGAAACTAAGTGAAAGTGAAAAAAGTTGAAAAATAATAAATAAATAAAAAATAATAATAAATAAATATATTATATAATAAAATTTTTAAAAATATTTAAAGATTCTTTTTGAAAATAAAAACAAGAAATTTATTTAAGAAATGGCGCTGACTATGCCTAAAGAAATCTATTAAAATAAAGTTCAGTTTCAAAATCTGTGTGAAAAAAAATAAATCAGCAAATTAAATTTGTGTATTTAAATAAAATAGAGAA